TGGAGTTTAAATACGTGGACTGCAAGATACACTCCAACCTCAGAAAAGTTAAAAAGTGAAAAATAATGAGCATCTCAGACTTGAGGAAACACAGGTGGGAAACTGCCAGTGTGCTGAGGCATTTGGACTTTATCCTGAGGGCGTGGTGAGCCATGGAAAGCTGTGAAACAGCAAGAGATAGGATCTGTCTGCCCTGCTTTCATTGCAGTGACTGAGCAGCAAGAGGTGGGTAGAGAGGGAGGAAGGACATTGGTGGAGGGACTGAACAAGTTGCTGAATCACAGGGAAGAGGCAGGTACAGAGGGACTGTGGCCATAGGGACACATGTCATCAGTGGGTTGGGTGAGAAAGGGTGGAAAGTGAAAAGTGGGAGGCTTCTGGCCAGGACCTAGTAGGGTGATTCCATCAAGGGAGGGGAGGGAAGCCCATCACAGGGGAACTTTGTTTCGGAAGTGTGGCATCCATGCCACCCACTACTTGCTCCTGATTATCTCAGCACTTAGGAACAAGTGTCCACTTGGCCTCTGCTTTCTTTGTATCGTTCCTGCATTCGATACTAGGTGTCGAGCTGTATCTGTGGGAGGCTCTTACTGAGGCTATTTACAGTAGGTTCCCTTGGGTGTTTTGAGCCCCCCTAGATGTTGTTGCCAGTGCTTCGAAGTTTTGTGGCTTTGTGTCCAGTGAAGTGGAACCAGCACCAGCTGCCTTATGTTTCAGGGCAGAGTGGCAGATGTGAGCATAATGAAGGGAGCATGACTACTGGGGCTGCAGGTCCATCTGGGACCTGGCCCTAGGTGGCTTCAAGCTTGCCCCTCCATTCTCACCATTCTGCTTTTAAAACTGAGCCACCATTTGTGCAGATGACTCAGGTGACTGCGCTGGTCTCTGTTCTCCAGGAGGCATTCTGTAGGACAAGGGAGAATGAAAATGCTTTAGTTAAGGAGCATGGGAGGCTTGACCAAGGAGGCAAGCTGACAGAGTGCCTATGGGAGCAGGCCCTTGGGTGACGCACACCTGAGTTTGAGTGTGGGCCCTGTTCTTGACCAGCTGGGCCCCCTGTGTGTACTGCTTGGCAGCACACTCTTGGAGCCTCAGGTTCCTCATCTATAGAAGGAAGTAATCACACTTCTTGTTGCACTATTATGGGAGATCTTTGTGGGGATGCTAACTCCGGACAAGGAGCCATCCCTGAGGAGCCAATGTTAGAGGAGAGTAAACAAACCATTGTAAGCTGACTTCCGATAGTGAAGAATGCTAAGATGTGACAGAGTGACGGGGATGGTGGTGGGTGGTTTCATGTTAGGTGGTCAGGGAAGGCTTCCCTGAGGAACTGACAGTCCAGCTGAGACCTCAGTGACAGGAAGGAACCTGTCATGGGGAAGGCCTAGGGGCAGAGCACATGAGGCAGAATGAACCGCAGGTGCCAAGGCCCTGAGGCTGGAATGGAGAGGTTGAGGGGAAGGGTAGAGAGGAGCTGTATGGCCTGGCTTGGGCTTGCTCAGGGGAGAAGATGTGTAAAGCAGGCACACAGTACCTTGTCCTCATGGACAGCTGTCAGTCTCCTGCTCTGGGCTTTGTGCTGACCCCATCTCCGCCTCTTTCTCCCACCAGTGCACTGTCCAGGTCAAGTTAGAGCTGGGACACCGGGCCCAACTGCGCAAGAAGCCCACCACGGAGGGGTTCACACATGATTGGATGGTGTTTGTCCGTGGCCCCGAGCAATGTGAAATCCAGCACTTCGTGGAGAAGGTCGTCTTCCGGCTGCATGACAGCTTCCCCAAGCCCAAGCGCGGTGAGTGGCCCTTGCTCCCCAAGCCAGGCAGCCCCACAGGGCTGAGCACCTTCAGCACTAACCCATTTGAGTCAGTCCTTGCAAGGCTGGGGTTCACCTTTTCCCTAGGGCAGTGGGCACACACTCTGAGGTTCTGGCTTGCACCTCTTGGCATGCCAATAAGAAGTTGCCCGTCTAGCACTTGGCCCTTTTCTGACCCTATAAAAAAGGTCCTCCTCCCTCCTTTTTGCTTCTCCTTCACTGTAGAGTTCATAGTAGGGAAAACCCAAAGGAGGTGATGACTGTGTCTCATGTCATTATTTAGACTTGGACTTTGAGAAGTTTCCAGAGAAAACGTAGTCAGTGGCCAGTGGGTGGGAAAGGGTGATTTACGCCCACTTGGTGAGTAATCAGGAAATTGCTTATGGGCCTACATTTGATGAGAGATGCCATTTTAAGAACTCATGATATTTGTGGGAAGAAAAAAAGCATAAACGGTGCTCATTTCACTGCTGTCTTGCTTCTTATATCTTTCTTTCCTGTGTCACCTCTCAGACTGATGTTGATGAACACTAGAGCTTCATTCACGTTTTCCACGAAGATTCTGATTTCTTATGACCTGGCAGTCTGACAGGGCAGAGAGAGGGGGGATTCACCCAGTTTATGGTGATCAGAGGACACTTTCTGGGGAATTTGATGGGGAATTTGGGAACATAGTTGGTGGCCATCTTGTGAGCTCTGTGGGGCCATGTTTGCTTTTCTCATCACTGAGTTCCCATTGTGAAGCCTGGTACATCACAGTGGTCCAATAAGTATTTCTTGAATGGATGTGTTGATAAAGGCATGAAGGACTTTTTGCTAGCAAAGTACTTCAGAGTGAGGAAGCCGCTCCTGTGCTGCTGACCCCTCTACCTTCAGGGCAGGGCTGAGCTGGGAGCCAGGGTGGACAGACCCACTGGGGGCCTGGGCCTGGACCTGGGCCAGCAAGTAGCTGACTTATATTACAGAAACAGAAACTTCTGGTTCAGAAGGGAAGGCAACCTGAGATTCCTACTGGAATGGTAGTCATTTCTTCTTCTTCTGGTTTCTTCTGTCAGCTTTCAGCTGTTTCCCTCATTCCTCCTCTCCCGAATATCCTTTTCCCTCCTCCTTTCTCTCTGAGCCTCTTGTAGGAGAGCGGACATGTTACTGACAACAGCGGATATCTGTAAAACACCTATTAATAATTATAGTAATAATAATAATAATAATACATGGCACTTATCAAGCACTTCCTGCAGGGTCTCTATTCAATTCATTCTCCCCACAACCCTCTTTTACAGGAAAGCTGCCTGTGCTTTAAAGCAGGTGTCCATACACTGGCCTGGGGCCTTGTAGTGCTGCCTGTTTCTGCTGGTACCTGCCATGCCCATTCATTTAGGAGTCCTCTGTGGCTGCTGTTGAGGACTGACAGCAGAATAGAAACTGTGGCTGCCTTTTTCTCTTGAGCTGGGCCTGCCTTGTTTCCCTAGCAGCTTCCACTCCATCTCTTTCACCACCTCCCTTGCCTGTCCTGTTCCCTTTTCTCCCAGTGTGCCCAGGACGACAATTTCCATTCACCTTTAAACTATTTCATCTTCGTCCCTACAGGGTCAGTAACCAAGCAGCTACTAGAAGTTATATTAACAGTGGTCTGCATTTGTCAAGCTCTCACTGGTCTGTGTGCTGTGCTCATGACAGCCCTGCAACATGGTACGTCCCAGAATTCCTACCAGGTAGATGTGGAAACTGAGGTTCAGAGAGGCCCAGTAACTTGCTTATGGTCATGTGGAAGAGGCATAGTCTCTGAGTTCCGAGCCCCAAGAAAATGGGTAATGAGTGGGGCCCACTTTCTTAGTGTCAGTTTGTGGGTAGAATTTAAATTAGTAGTTGAATGGTGCTTGTTGCCAAGTCCGCACAAAATGTGTGAAATAGTAAATGCCCAGTTATATTTGTTGTGTTGAACAAAACTTGGCTGGATTATATCCTGCCAGTTGTCAGTGAAAAATGGACCAGGTTAAAGAGTAAATTAGTTTCTTACAGGACTCTAGGCTCTGAAATTATGTTATATACTTTAAAAGTATCTTTAAAATCAAATATATACACAACAAACCAAATAGGAATGTGCCAGGTGGGAAGTTTCCATTTCCTGTGCCATCACTGTTCACACTGCCCCAGGACCAATCTTTCTAGTCCTTTCTGGATCGTGTTCTCCCTGAACACCTTAAGTTAGTGGAAGTGAATTGGCTTAGTTCTTGATTTTCAAATTTAAAAAATATTTGTTTACCGGCATGAAAGGCTAGACTTTATACTAAACTCCCAATCCTTTTATCCACTGTCTGTGCTAAATATTTTATAGTTAAGTGATTTATTTTGTGGTGATTGTCTTTGTGACTTTGAATAATGAGCAAACTGCTTACCTTTTGGATTCTCTACAAAGGCTCCGTGTCACCCTATTTAAAGAAGTCCTCTGGCTGCCAGGTCTAACTCAGAGTTTCTTTGCTCAGAACACCTAAATAGCCACATGCTTCTAGCCTTTTTTTCTGTTTTATTTTTCTCTTTAGCACCATTTTAGTGTGTTGTTTATATTACTTAGCTTGTTTATCTGATTTGTGTCTTGCTGTAGTTTGCTGCTATCTCCTTGGTGCTGGAAGGATACAGTAAGTGCTGTCAGCTTCTGTCAGTATCTTCTGACTTTCTGCTTAGGAAGAGAAGGATGTGAGCACCCCTGTCTTTCCTTGAACCTTATACCCCTCCTTGACATTGTTGAACTAAAGTTGAAGTTGTTGAACTAAAACTGAGACTTTCACTCCAGGATCAGAAATTGACCAAAAGTTGGAACCAGTAAGCAGTACTGACTTCATTGACTTTGTTCATTGTTGGGCTGGTCAGGATGCCAGGTTTTCATTTATCCTCTTGGAACTCTGGGCCACTCAAAGGGGAGCACTCAAGGTCATATCAAGGTCAGATGGGTTCTTCCTTTATCATTCTTGGTTGAAATTCAGCCATGTTTATTTTGCTTCATGTTTGGGCCCTGACTTTGTGACTACCCCTTTGCTTTTGCTTTTTCTCCCCTTGCGTTGTGTCTTCATTATACCTCCACTTTTTTCTATCCTTAACCATTGCATTTAGTCAGTGGATTCCCCCTACTCCCCAGATATTTTATTCTGGTTCTCTCTGCCTTCCTCTAATCAGGAACTGGGACTGGCTTCTCTTGAAGCTCCCTCATTTAGCCACCTCCCTGGGATGTTCCTTTACTGTTCTTCTGGGGGGATTTATTTGTTACCTTATGTTTTGGCTTATTTTCTTGATTTTCTGGAGTAATTTCTCAAGTAACATCCCAAGAGATTGATTACTTAGGAAATTTCCCAAGAAAGGTGAGTGGAAAATGAACTCTTTGACTCCTAGTATATCTGAAAGTACCATCATTCTGTTCTCACACTGGAGTGATAGTTTGGTTGAGTGTAATCTAGTTTTTTGTTTTTGTTTTGTTTTTAAAATCTATCTTTATTGATTTCAGAAAGAGGAGAGGAGAGGGCGGGGAGAGAGAGAGAAACATTGGTGGTGAGAGAGTCATTGATAGACTGCCTCCTGCACGCCCCCTACTGGGGATCAAGCCTGCAACCCAGGCATGTGCCCTGACTGGGAATCGAACCTTGATCTCCTAGATCCTAGGTTGATGCTCAACAGCTGAGCCACGCTGGCCAGGCTCTAGTTGTAGAATTACTATTGTTTAGAGCTTTGAAAGTATTTGCTTCATGGTCTTCAGAAAAGCCTGATGCAAGAACCTGATACAGGTTCTTGTTCTATTATAGATAACCTATTTTTTCTCTAGAAGCATTTAAGATATTTTTTAGGATATTGGTTCTGGGGTCTTTTTTGACTGTGATGTCCTTTATTTAGCTCCAGAAAGTTGTCTTCCATTTCTTTGACTATTTTTATTTTATCTGTTTTCTCTTTTAGGATGCTTATTACTTCTCTGTGTCTAAATATTTTATCTGTAAAATGGAAGCAGTTGTGTCTGCCTTAAGGTTGTTGTAAGGATTACATGAATTAATGTGTATCAAGTGCTGAGAATAGTGCCTGGCACACAGCAGATGCTTTATAAATATTAGCTGCTGGTAGCATTTGTTTAATCTGAATTGTTTCTTCGTGTCTCACCTTTTTCTTTAAAAAATTCTTTTTGCTCTATGTTCTGGGAAATTTCCTCAGCTTTATTCCAGTCTTTTCATGGAATTAAAAAATTGTAAGTACTATATTTGTACTAAAAGCCCTTATTCTCTCATTTTCTTTTCAAAATTATCTTTTTTTTGTTTTGGAACGTGTCTTGGACCTGAGGACAATGACTCTAGTTTCTTTCTTTTTTTTTTTTTTAAAGGTTTTTTTTTTTTTATTGATTTTTAGAGAGAGAGGGAGAGAGAGAAGCATCCACGTGAAGCAAGACATCGAACCAGGGACGATGCCCAACCAACTGAGCCATACTGCCCAGGGCTTTTAAAAAATTTTTAATCCTCATCCGAAGACATGTTTGTTTGTTTTAAACTGATTTTAGAGATAGAGGAAGAGAGAGAAAGACAAACATTGATTGGTTGCCTCCTGTATGCATCCCAATCAGAGATCTAATCTGCAACCTAGGTATGTGCCCTGACTGGGAATCGAACCCTCAACCTTTTGGTCTACAGGATGATGCTCCAAATGATTGAACCACTTAGCCAGGTCCTTATTGAGCACTATTTAGGGTAGGATGGGTTCTTTTGACCAGCAGGCTTCTGGTTAGGGAGGTGGGTCTCCCAGTTTCCTAAATGAGGAGGGCTTTACTCTGGACCCAATACCGTAGGCTCTAGCTTCTTCCAGACAGTTAACCCTTCTCCCAAGATGTGGAATCACCTGGATTTCCCCAAAGGAAAGCTTGAAATTGCTGTGCATGGGGTGGTGGTGGGTGGCAGGATGAATCCCAGGGCTGTTGTTCAAGTACAGCCTCTCTGTTTGGCTTTTTTTTTTAATAACTGCTTTATACATGATAAAATTCACCCTTTTAATGTGTACAATTCAGTACTTTTAGTGTATTCATAAAGTTGTGCAACCATCACCACTCTCTCATTCCAGAACATTTTCATCACCCCAGAAATAAACTTCTTGCCCATCATTAGCAGTCACTCCCTTTCTTCTTCCCTTTCCAGCTTCTCTCCTGCCCTTTACTGAATTTGTAGGTACCATGCCCCTGCCTTTTGGGATCTGGCATCAGTGGGGCTCTTAACTGCCCTGCAGTGCATCATGGCATGTTCTGGGCTGCAGCTTCCTTTTCCTGTTTCCTTGCCCAGCATGGTCTCATTTACTTTTTTCATTCTAGAAATTTCTCCACTGCTTATATCACTTCCCTCCCCTCTTCACTCAACTGGCTGCATTTCCTATAGAATTTGTCTCACTTTGGTTTCCGTGGACATCTGCTTGGAAGGATATCCATCTCTGAAAGGATAGACGTTTTTCAGCCTTGGAGTGCCTATCATGTGATAGGCCTTTGGAAAAAGATTGCGAAACCCGCAGTAGGATCTCTTCCTTCAAAGGGTTTGTAGTCTGGTAGGGATATGGAGATCAGATGTGACATGTATTCTTTTTTAAAAAAATATTTTTATTGATTTTTTTAGAGAGAGGGAGAGAAAACATCAATGTGAGAGCGAAACATTGATCAGCTGCCTCCTGCATGCCCCCCACTGGGGACTGAGCCCACAAACCCAGCATGGGACCTGACTGGGAATTGAACCAGCAATCTTTTAGTGCACATGACAGTGGTCAACCAACTGAGCCACACTAGCCAGGGCATGACATGTATTTTTGGAAAGATAGCTGCCCTCAGTGGAATTAAGTGACCTGGAATTCAGAGACCAAGGGAAGCCAGGTCTGGCCTTGCTTAGGAAGTGGCCCTGACTTGGGCCTTGATGGCAGACGGGAGTTAGACAGGGTGGGCAGGGAAGACGAAGTTGGGGGTGGAATTGGGGGGCAGAGCTGCAGGCCGCTTCCTTGCCTGTATCCTTCACGTGTCTCTCTGCCATGGGGATTGTGCAGTGAAGACAGGCCACCCTTCCTCTGCTCCGCTCCCACTTTCCTTCCTGGATTCAGATAATGATTTAACAAGCCTCCCAGTCCAGGTTACTTCCTGCTCCTAGTCCATCTCCTTAACTTAATGCAGAGCCCTTGGTATACAGGACGAAGCTCCAGTCAGTTGAACCACCTGGCCAGGGCCTTACGCGGAGGCATGGCGTGTGGCCCTCTCAGCAGTATCTGACAGGTTCTTATTGAATCTTTTTGAAAGGTCTGGCCCTGGGAGTGTGACAGTGAGTGAGATGGAGCTAGTGTAGGAATTAAGAAAAATGGCCAGAGTAAGCATGGAGGTCCTGTGATTAAGTGATACAGGGTGCTGAAGGCCTATGGGAGGGAACCATGACCTAGAAATGGGAGTTGGGGCTCAGCAGGGGTCCTGGAGGAAGTGATCTGTGATCTGAGAGGTTCAGTGGGTCTGAATCTTAGGACCTGAGGTTGGGCTGGGAAGAGATGAGGCTCGAGGTGATGAAGCGTCCTGTGGGCCCCTTGAGGGGCTCGAGGTTTGTCCTGAGGACAGTGGGAAGCCATCAGGGGACAGTCAGTTTGCAGTTCAGAACAATCATTCCTGATACCCATGCAGAAGATGCCCAGGAGTGAGCCTGAGGCAGAATGGCTAGTGACCCACACAGAATGCCAGGCAGTGGGGTGCATTTCAGAGCAGTATGGAGGTGGAACTGATAGTGCTTGGCAACAGGTTATTTGTGGGAGAGAGAGGAGTCTGGAAGTTCTCAGTCCTTGGGTGAGTGGTGGACAACCTGGGTTCTGAGCTGTGGGACCCTGGAAGAGGTGCAGGTTTAGGAGGGGATGAGTAGGTGATTTGGGGCAGTCTGTATTTGAGGTGCCCATCTAGCACCCACGGAGGATACCCAAGGAGCAGAAAGGGACTAGCTAAAATAGTGATTTGAGGCCTGGGTCACCTGAGGCAGCTCCTATCTCTGGGGCCAATAGGGTTTCCCAAGCCTGAGCCACAAGCCCCTCCCCCTGCTTCCCTGGGTTTGCAGCAGATGGGTTCATACAAGGCTGTCTGGACAGCTCTGCTCTTGAGGGTCGCTAATGATTTCAAGCTCACCTTGCCTGACAGTTTTCTTTGGATCGATGAGATACATGAGATATTTGAGATACATAATATTAGATGGGATATTTGAGAGCTGAAAAGATTTTTTTTTTAAAGAAAAGTCTTACTGGGTTTTAATTTAAAAGACTCATGTTTCATTCCATTCTGTATACTGTTTTGCAGCAATTCCTGGCCCATTTAAGAATTATCTGACTGATACACATATAGATATATAAAGGTTTTAACAATTGGCAGGATTTTTCCTGTCTCCCAGTAGTGGTTGCCTCTGGAGAGGGAAGAGTGGACAAGGGTGATTTAATCTGTACTGTTATGATTTTTCTGAAAAGTGGGATAACAATATTTTCACATTTCTTGAATAATGAAACACATGCTGGAGGGTGAGATTGTGGGAGATTATTTTACTTGTACTTTGCTGTTCTTCTAGTTTTTTAAATTTGTGGGGTTAATGAGTCTGTTCACATCACTCCAGCACTTAGGAATGCTTTTGTTAGGTGTTAAAGTGGACCCAGGAGAGAGTCCCAGCTGAGACCAGACCATCTCCATCTCCTGGCATCAGTTCACGTGTTTGAGTGAGCAGTGGAAGCAAGTGGATGCTATAGTTTGCACTGCCCTCCCTGGGAGACCTGGGACCCATAGGGTCTCCCTCTTCACACGTGTCATAATGCCTGCCCTGAGTTGGTTGAACTGTATGACCTGTGGCCAGCACTGGCTCCTCTGCTAGTCTCATGCCCTTTCCTGCTCTCCCACCCTGGCTTGTCAGGGTCACCTTTCTTCTGCTCTGCTCCTTTGATTTTCCATGACCCCTTTGGCATGGAATTGGGCATGAGATTTGGTGCTCACAAGGGGAGTTAGCTTCCTGAAAAGCCGTGCTCCTGTGGAGCCGGTGAGTCCCAGAGAGGAGGCGCAGAGTGTGGTGGGCCTACTGCTGCTGATAGTTAGGCCTTTGAATGGTCAGGAAGCTAACAGATGTGTTTTCCCTTTCTTTTTAGTGTGTAAGGAGCCCCCGTACAAAGTGGAGGAGTCCGGTTACGCTGGCTTCATCATGCCCATCGAGGTGCACTTCAAAAACAAGGTAAGATCCTGGAAGTGGCAACAGGAAGGATGTACAGTTCACAAAAGAGGAAGTGGAACCAGTGACACCGGTGACAGAATGTTGGGATCACTGGTAGTTGGTGGGCTAAGTGTTACCGCCTCTGCAGTGGAAGATGGGGGCTGGGAAAATGGGCACCCTGATGGCAGGTGGGAGTGTAAGTGGGTGTGTCCTCTCCAGGGATTACCTGGAAGTCCATGCAGTCCCTAAGTCAGCAGCAGCATTCCATGACAGGGCTAGATTTGTTAGTTACTGGGCTGTGACTAGTGGCGAAGATCTGAAAATTACCTTTAAGTGTCTGACAGTAGGCAATCGGTTAAAGTTATGGTGCATCTCCTGAATGGGCTCTTTGATGACCTGGGGCCGGGGAAGGGAGTTTTTAATATTGTTGAAAGAAAAAGCAAGTTATGTGTATATTGGCGGCAGGATAGGAAAAAGGAATTACTGTATACATTAAAAATGTTAACAGGTAATGTGGGTGGCAGGATTATAAGGCAGTTTTGCTTTATTTTCCTCCATGTGTATTTTCTAAACATTTACAGTGAATATATGTTGATAACTATTAACCCATTTGGGCTGCTATAACAAAATACCACAGACTGGATGGTTTATAAACAACAGAAGTTTATTGCTTACAGTTCTGGAGGCTGGAAGTCCAAGATCAGGGTGCCAGCCCCTCTTCCCAGTCATAAACTTCTTTCTGTGTCTTTACATGGAGGAAGGGGTGAGAGCTCTGTGGGGTCTCTTTTATAAGGGCACTAATCCCATTCATGGGGGCTCCACCCTCAGGACATAATCACCTCCCAGAGGCCACGTCTAACACCATCACCTCTGGGAGTTAGGATTTCAACGTGAATTTGGGAGGGACAGAGTTAGACTATAGTTTTAGGTTTTTTAAAAGCCCAATGATTAAAATTAAAGATTCTTCCTGCAAGCTGCTTCTACTCCTTCTCACAGACACCACCAAGAGGCCATGGTGACCTTTCCTGACTTGGAGGTGGCTTGGCCATGCTTGGGTGCTTTTTCACAAGTACAGCTAGACTGGCTGCAGGCAGCTCCGCTGTCTTTCAGGAAAGAGATCTCCCTGTGTTGCCTTTGGATGCCACTGCTCCCTTAATGAGTCTCTTGTTTTCATACCTGGCTGTTCTTTAAACTACCTGGTGTCAAGGACCTCTGGGAATGGTGCTCAAGTGTGCTGCCCCACTGGGAGTTGAGGGACATTTCAGCAAGTGTAGCAAAGCAGGAGTCAACTCTGTGACCCTTTGGGCCCACTTCTCAGAAGTCTGAGTCACCCGAGGCTTTTGTAGAATCAAGGCCTGAAAGACCCAGTGACCGGCCACCATTGAGAGCAGAGCCCAGCCTGTCTGCGCAGGCAAAGGCTCCGCCATGTCTTTTCAACCAGGGGTCTGGGGGTGATGCAGAGGAGATGCTGCATCCTTTGGGGGGCAGTCTTCCAAGGACCTGCTTAGGGAGGCCAGGCCAGGGTGTGTGGAGGTGGGAGAACTGATGCTGGGAACTCAGTCATGGGGCAGGTGTCCCTAGCCTTTCCAGCTCCCTGTGGGGAGCCTGTGGAAAGGGACGATGAAAGTAGCCCTCTGGGTGGTGGGGGAGACAGTCCATCTGCAGAAAACTCCAGCAGTCCTGTACATTGGTACTCTAGAGGTGGGCAGTGGTGAGGGAATCCTTGAAGCCACCTAAGCTCATCTTTGGGTTTCAATTAAATTCCTTTGAGGCTTAGAAGCAGTTTTGGGTCCCATGGATCAGTGAGCTTTTGTGTGCCCTGAGACCTATCTGGTCCCTGACATGCAGACCTTTCTCTCCCTCCCGGAGGCGTGTCTGCAGCCATCTGGGCCCTGGTAGTGTCCACTCAACTTCCTGCTGTCCCCAGGGGTCTGCCAGGAGATTCCAGCTGTCCCCAGGGGTAGGGGGCGCCATGCTGAAGCTGGACAGTACCACAGAGGTGGCTAGTGGGTCTTAGTGCCCCTTCTCCTGGCCCAGGGGATTCTTGCTGGTCTCCAGATTCTCGTGAGAGAATGGAGAGTGGTGGGACACTTGCTGTTCCTGCCTCAGCTGGGACCCTCCCCTGTGGTGGCTTATGCAGCCTCTGTTAGTACCTCAGATCTCTCACGTGGATGGTGGGGAGGCACACAGGTGCTCCCTCAAAAGGGACACCTGGGGAAGTGGTGACTGCTTGGGGCAGCACCTCTCTCAGTCCTTACCTGAGGAGTGTTTACCTGTGTTTTGCATCCAGACTTCAGGGCCATTCCTATGCCGAGTCCCTGAGGCGTTCCACCCCTATGTCCTGATCCTAGTAGGGAAGAGAACAGGTGGCTCTCTGACCACAGGACTTGTCTCTGCTGAGTAGAGCATTCTCACATATACTGGGGCATTGAGGGGCAGAGGACCTCTCCAAGGGCGTCCTAATCTTTCAGGATCCTTGGGCTTGCTTACTTGGGGGAGTTGGGGGGGTGCATGTACTTGTGCATGTCTCCCACAGGCAGCACAGGACCCTGGGCTCCTTTTTAATTGCCTTGTTCCTTTGTGAGTCCCTGAGGTGCTGCCCCTCAGAGGCATTGTACTACCCTGACCATCTAGCAGTCATGGCATCAACTGGTTTTGGATTAAGGGTTTTTGTTCTGTTTTAGTTTTTTGAGGTATAATTTAATACAGCAAAATTTTCCCATTTTAGGTGTAGGTTTTTTAGAGTTCACCATGTGTTTTTCATTTGAACCATGTTGGTAGATGCTTGGTTTTTCTGTAACAAAAAAAGGTCACGTTCCTAGGTTTAGTTGTCTGAGCAGTTCCTATGGAGGCTGTGTGGCTGGGGCGAGAGTGCTGCCGTGGGCCTCTTTAATTGCAGCATCGTCTTTCGCTCAGGATGAATGCTGGATGCTGTGCTCTGCACACTGCTCACTGGAGTCCTCTATTCCTGGTGGTGGTTTTGTCCTCAGAGCTGTGAGGGGAACCCTGCACTGTAAGCATACAGAGGTGTGGCCACCACACGAGGGACCTGGGATACAAGTGAAATCACTAAATGGGTTCTTGGCTTACTGTGATAAGTGGGTACTTAGTCTCCAGACAAGTCCCCAGTCTATGGATGAAGGAGCTCCTGGGTACTTAGTCACAGGCTCAAGGCCACACAGTAAGTTGAGGAGCTGGGATTTGAACCAGCAGAGTGTGTAGTCCTATATGCACACCTGAGACAGACTTTGACCCAGAGCAACAGCTGTTCATGAATTCTGGTTTTTGGTATGATTTTATGTATTGTGTTTTGCAGTTGTCTAATTGTGGGTGGGTTCCTGCTTTGGAAGTTTCGTAAAGATCAGACAGTTGTAGAAAAGTGAATGGTGGTTTATGCAAAAGCAGCTTGTACAGATTTGGAGTAGTGTTGGAAACAGGGTCATTATGAATGGATCTACTGGTGCTTTTTCTATCCTGATGTAGGCAAGGGTTGCACTGAATTTTCAGCCATGACTTACTCCTCTGCTGTAGGTAAGGTAAGTAGATTTTTGAGGTGGAAGTGGCTGTGCACAGGTTTCTTTTCTGGGCCTCAGACTCTCCATGAGGTTGGCTTCCTAATTGTGTCTGCTTCTCAGTGCTGTTAGGAAGATTCACAGAGAGATGGAGAGTAAGGTCCTGGGCCCAGTACCCAGCACATATTATGCATTTCATAAGTTTGTGTTGTTATTGCTGCTGCCGAAGTGGTGTTGCCTCTTTCCAGTTAATCTGGGTAAGAGAGGTACGTGGACAAAGCATCCTTGGAGGCTTTCAGGCCCAGAGGAGGTTGAGGTTCCAGAGATGAAGAAAGATGACTTTGGCTTCTCTGGTGAACAGGGTGGATCTATACCCAGGACAGAAAAGGCGCTTTCTCAGACTTAGGCCATTTTCTCATGTAACCGTGAGGTGTGTTTAGCCACACTAGATCCTGAAGGTGGCATCAACTGTGAAATGAAGGAACTCTGTTTTACATGGTGTTTGGCACTAGAACTTACCTGAGAACACCTTCTGTTTGACCTTTTGGCAGGGTGCTCTTTTAAATAAACCACTCCTTTTCCCCAGGGGAAAAAAAATGAGAGCAGGGCTTTGTCTGATTACAAAAAGGAACATTTTTGCATCATTGAGCTGTTTTTACGCTACTTCTGACACCAAGTGAGAGGGGCTTGTTTTCCTTCTGAAACCAAATGTATGCTGCCTTTTCTAACACCTCTCCTCCAATTCTCTGATTCTCCAGGCACTGGTAGGGTGTTCTGTAGTTCATTCACTTCTCATACCATCTGCCTGGAGTTATCAGAGACCCTACAGGGTAAGGACTCAGCCCCACAGGACTGCCTCCACTTCTATAAATTTGGGGGTTCCCACAAACCCCTCTTAAGGTTTCATAATTTGCTAGAACAGCTCATAAAACTCTGGTAAACATTTTACTTACTATTACTGATTTATTATAGGGCCAGCCAGATGAAATAGGAAGAGCTAGATGAAAGAGATGCATGGGGTAGGGGTGCGGAGCTTCCAGGTGCACCACCCTCCCCAGCACCTCATGTGCTCACTTACCTGGAAGTTCTCTGAACCCCATTGTTTAGGGGTTGTTATGGAGTCTTCATTATGCAGACATGATTGATTATATCATTGGCCATTGATGAGATTAACTCAATCCCCAGACCTTCTCCCCTCTCCGGAGGTTGAAGGTGGGGCTGAAAGTTCTGAGCTTCTAATAAAAACTTGGCCTTTCTGGGGACCAGCCCAGTTCCAAGGCTGCCTAGGGGCCTACCAAAAGTCACTTCATTACAACAAAAGATGCTCCAGTCATCCCTGTCCCTCAGGAAATTCCAAGGGTTTTAGGAAGTTTGTGAAATGGAGACAGAGACCAAGTGCTTTTCTATGAGACCACAATTATAAGAATTTATTGAGGTGAAATTCACATAACATCAAATTAACAATTTTATTTTATTATTATTATTTTTTTAATCCTCACCTGAGGATAT